TATAAATCATTTAAATTTTATTTCTTTAAACAAATAAACAAATTACTTGAGTGTTATTCAGGACAGTTTTATGAATTTTCTTGCTCTAGTTTTGTTACTCTGGTCTGGTGGCAGTTCATCGCCACAGGACCAAACGGATCTTTAGGAGCTGTTTGTGCAAACTCTTTTGTGAACCCCCTTTTCTTCCTCAGCAACTTCCAATGCATATTAATGTGGGCTTGGAGCTTCTTTTCACTTGTGCGCTCCACTAAGCAGCTCACAAACTCAGCCACAGATATTTCGGCCTAAAAGTTCTGCCTTATCTCTGAACCATTCAAATAGAGAAATTTAAAGAAAGTCTGTATACTGAATTTGAAACGTTGACTGTCAGCATTTGTTTAGTCTTTTTGTGGTTAGTTATCTGTATCCTGCAAAGTCATTAGATGTTTTTTGACCAACATCAGAAGTTCATTACTGGACTCCAGCCTTTACTGAGACCCTTTGAAGAGAGACCTAAAGGTGAAGCCACATCATAAAGCCATGTGTGAGTTCCCAGTTCTAGAGCTGAGAAGGACCTGGGATGACATTTTAAAAAGTCCGGGATCCTTTTTAATCAATGTTTTATTGCAATGCTGTCTACTGGAAAAGGCTCCGCTGACTAAGCTCTCCTTGTTGTGCTGATAGGAAACATTTAAGTCAGAGTCAGTGAAGGTTTTCCTCAAAGTTATAGACATATGAATACATAAATTATTAGCCAAGAATAGATGAAGGAATCAAGACACAAGCACCAAAGTTCAATATCATTCTCCTTCCAGTAAATCTTTTTTGTTGTTGTTCTATGTACTGAATCATTTTATGCACATCTATCTATCTATCTATCAGTCTTGTCTTGTCTTGTCATGTCATGCCACCATCAAAGTGTGCCCTTTAAATGTGACCCAAGCTCTGAAGACTGAAGAGTCTTTAAATGTAAATTATTATGAAAAATTATTATCATTTATTGCTGTTAAATTGGGAAGACAGCAGCTAATTACCGCAGCATGACTCATTTTCCAGCATCATTATTTTCTTAGAATTTCTACATCCTGCTTCTTTCCTCCAAAGTCTATACTTTAAAAAAAAGAAAAAGTGATATTGTCAAGTTGAAATGAAGCATTTCTTCTCAGCTCAGTCCAGTGTGGTCAACTCAGCATCTAAACACAATAGCTGGATGGCAGGGCAGTTTCCTGTTACTTCTCTAGTTTCATCTTGATGTTCAGGAAACTCGACACTGATCTTTTCATATATTTTTGTGTACATATAGTATTTTTTTCTAAACATATATATTTGTCATGATCTTGCATCTCTTTAAGCAGCAACGCTTTACAACTATGAGCTAAAGGCTGTGTGAATCGCATTGAGGCATCAGATGTTTTCTACTGACACGGTGCAAAGTATCTACCAGAGCGTGAAATATTGTTATCCTGATGGGTTTTTGCAGTGGCACGGCATGCACATCACCGTCCTAATCAAGCTGACACCTAGAACTGCCACCTCTGATTTGGGACAAAGGCCTGGCGAGGGTAGGCCAGCCAAGACACTAATGCAAACTGACTGCTGGAGATCTTAGTGTGTCCGTCTGTGCCTTTAGGGAGGTGTTGACCCTGCCCATTTGCACAGTTTGAAAAACAGCTGTACAGTTCCTCATATAATGGTTTTGGGCCGGTATTCATGTCAGAAGAGGGCGGTTTAATTGAAACATTTGAAAAGAGCTGTTTTGCTCTTCTCTTTTGTCTTGCATTCATGATTGTGTAGGATACTGTCCAGTCACCACATAATAAGTCATTGCTTTGTCATCTTCCAGTAGATTTCATGAGATTCCCCTTAAGGGGATATTACATCCTCCTCCTCTCATGCAAAAACAAGTGTTACCATGACAGCACTTGTTTGAGTGCTGCCCCAGCTTGCCACTGTATGCTTTTATTTGGGACACAATTGCAGCATTGTGCTGCATGACGCTTTTATTAGATGTCATTGAATTTTGGAACCTGTATGACTTCATAGAGCTCCAGTGATATAAAATCAGCCATTATATAAATTATAGGTCAGTTTATAATAGAGTGCAGCAGTCAAGTTCTTGGAGAATATATCCCATAAATTTTCTCTATGGGGAATTTTAATGACTTTTAATGATTTTTAATTGATTGATTTGTATTAACTTTTAAACCTTTAAAGACTGACCTACTGTGAGCAATGAGGTTGTTGATTGATGGTATATGATTTTGTTGAAGCAAAATCATCAGTCCACATTATTTCAATTTCAAAGCTACATTACCCATGATTCTGCAAAAAAAAAAAAAGAGCCCCAATCAAAGAATCGTGACAAACAAATTCTGCCAAATAAACGTTTTAGTGGCTGATCACTCCCATGAAGCACTGCGAATGATATTATGTAACAGAGTATTTGTATATAAAATCATTTAGTGTACATATTTATTTTGGTCATTGTTTTGTCTATAGTAACTACAGTTCACAGTATGATGCATGGAAGAAACTGCACACTAATACAATCACTTGTTACCACTTTCAAACAATGCTTTCCTTTCAGATGAATGTACTGCATTACTGCATAATTTAACACTTCTTTAAAATAACATTTCAGATTAAGATGCTTTTCCATGTCACAATTAATTTCAGTCCACGTAAGAGTAAAATCCAAACAATTGTTACCACTTTATGATCATATTTTTACTGAAAATCTTGCTGTTCATTCCTTGGGTATGTTCTGTGAAGCTTGACTGAGTTTACATGATAACGATGTAAAACAATTTAAAAACAATTAACTCTGTATTATGCATGCCAGGCCAGTAGTTGGCGATGTCACTTTGTAAAGAACCTCGCACATGCCTATAGACTGAACACATAATACGCACGAGCATGACTTCACAGTTTTCACAATTTCACGTTTTTATAGTTTACACAGAGACGACAACAGTATCATTTTCAAAAACTTAGCATTTTTCAGGCCCCCAAAACACTTGTGTAAATGACCAGCCAAAACACATAAAAAGTTAAGTGAAGAGTCAGTTGTGCTGATGATTAAAACAAGGTGTTCTCAGTAACTGAGAGGCAAGTTTTTTTTTTTTTTTTGTGGTAAGCAGCAGATTGTCAATAGAGTGTAGCTTTTGTTGAAATGGTCCATTAACCACCACTAGGGATAGATGTGAAGTGAACTGAATTCAGTTTTTGTCTGAATTTGCTAATTCAAAGCACCTGTATGTGCTTTGGCAGGTCATAGAAAGGTCTTTCTAAGGTGATGTCATGTGCTTTGACAGCAGATCTTTTATTTAAGGCTCTTTATAGCATGGTCTGTTTGTGGGCGGAAGGGTACAGAATAGCTTGGCAGGATTTTCTGGTTACATGGGCCGTCACAACTTTTAAGGAGTGTGCGTCTGGCCATCAGCCCACCATGAACTCCCTGGGCAGCTGTTCAAAGGTAGGAATTTCTTTGTTGACACCAGACACCCTAACACTGAGAGGAAACAGCAGATTTATCAGCAGCAGAGCCCCTGTAAACCTGACCTCTGAGGAGATCCTGCTTCACATCATCACAGTGTGTCCAGATATTTTGATTGGTGGGTGCAAAAAGCTTTAGGAAAAGAACGCATGAAAAATTGGAGATTACATCATCTACGTAAAACACGAAATGGCCCAATGCCCATAAAACACAAAGCAGCCAGACGTATTCTAGTGCAGCAGTTGAGGCTTGTTTATAATGTTAAGTCTGTGTTTTGCTCAGTTTATTGTGTCTAATATGAGTTTAGTGATGTTTTGAAACAGTAATCTGGATTAGGCTTTAGAAAGGGTTCCTAATTTTGCTTGTAATCCTTTTGGTCATGCAATATTCTTGTTACGGTTACTGTCTGGCAGCTTATTCGGTGCAAATAAATAAAATGTCGTAATGAAACAGGATTGATTCTATCACGTTACAATGTGTTGCATTCGCTTGCATGATTGGGTGGGCAAAACTAAAATCTAGTTCTGCCTTAGTGCTTTTTTGTTTTGTACTTAATCTGCTAAGAGTAATTTTTAATTTCATACTTGGGTCCAAATGTTAAGCCTGTTTTTGCTTTTATTCTTGTTGTACTTGATAAATTGTCTAAACATTTTTCTTTTCTTTTTTTTTAAGTGCCACCACTGACAGATAAAGTGAGCAGTCTTGTGAATTTCAGGCTCGACATTTCAGACATTACCTCTCATCAAGCTGTGCAGAAGTCTATAAATTCCCTGAACAACAATGGGTTCATTAGAGCTGAGTCAACACATTTCTGCTGTGCTTTTCCTCTCGGGGGATGTACCTTTAGAGCCCTTAGAAGATTATTCTTTCCCTTCCAGCAAAATCTTGCATTTTGCATGACTGGTTTGTTTTTGCAGGACTTTAAATCTGTAGAGATGCCAGAGCGTACAAGCTAAACGTGTACCGAGTCAGACCTTGAACTATTTGATCTTACATTTAATTTTTTTCTCATATCCAAGCAGTATTTTCGCCTAGCTGCTTGGTTATTTTCCTCACATAACATTCAACATGAAATTAAACTGAAAATGTCTGCAAAAGCTCCAGAATCCTGGTTTATAATCATCTCATGAGGTTGCCTAGAGGAGACAGAGACCGCATTCATCTCAAGTGTTATCACATGAAGAGTAGATGTGCTCCAGTTTTAGCCGAGGAATGAATAGCAGGATCTTTGTTAGATGTTTTTTGTCTGATTATTGCATAACGTTTTGTCCTGCTGACCAGGACCTGCGTTACTGTTTTCTTGGGCTAAGGACATCATCCAGCTGATGCTGGGGAAAGGGTGAGGCTTTTGGCAATGATTTATGAGCTGTTCTATATCCCTGACTCAGGACGCCCCAAACTTTCATAACACAGATGCAGACAAATCGAGGGCAACTTTTTACCACACCTGCCAATGGCAGATGAAAATATGTGTAAATATTGCTTACAGGCTACTGTATGTGCTTGTGTGTGTGTGTGTGTGTGTGTGTGTGTTTGTTTTGTAATTTTACATGTATTTTATATTTTTTTGTTATTTTATTCATTATTTTAATACATTTTAATATTACTTAATTTTCATGTATTTATTATTAAATGAATTTATTCATTTGATTGTTAATTTTATATAATTGCATTATGGAGTTTTATTTTGTGTAAATTATTTTGCAGTTTCCTTCTTTTATAGCACAGTCATTAGCCACATAATCATTCATAAAATCATGTGTACGACACATCATGCTTTTGTTTCTTATGTTTTTGATTTGGTGACTTATTATGTGAACACGTTCATTTGAATAGTGCACGTCACTTCAGCAACAGTAAGGTGTTTTATTCTTCTGAAACTATGTATTATTCCTTATGTTCTGGCCAAATCTTTTATTGCATTTGGTGCTGAGTGAGTGTTACTTTTGGAACCTGCTACCACACATACATCAGTGCCTGTGTTTATTCAGCCCTCACAGTAAGGCTACGGCTACACTGCCTTTATGTCTGAGACTTTGTAAGCATCCCAGCGAAACCCAGTGGTTTTGGACAGGCAGACATTCCTGCTTGGCTGTTAACACATCATCTGCCTGTCAAAAAAAACAACAGGGTGGTCTGGAACCATCGGTGACACCAGGACCACCTGTCAACGAATGAATTACACCTTTTTGCCTTGGTGTAACTTGGAGATATAGAGTAGATATTTGTCTTGTAGGATTTCCCCACTCAACCATCTTTCCCCAGTTTCACATTGACGACATTGACGTTACACTTGCCTGAACAATGAGGCTTTCTAATTTAAAACCCGATGGTGTCATTGTTTGGCAGTGGAACACATTTACAAGAGATAAAGAGAGGAAGAGATTTGCAAATCCTCCAGTTAAGCTCTAGCAACAGCACCAACACCATTTGGCTGCTAGAGGCAAAAAAAAAGCAAAACTGATTGATTAATATTGATAGTTGTGGCATTTGAAATGTTTATGGTCCATTAAGCGTTACTAAATTGCAGAGAAGACATTTCAGCAGAGTTGAAATGTTTGTTGTTGGAAATGTTTATTATCTAGAAGTGAGACTTTGCAAACTTCTGGCAAATGTCCCTTAGTACTTCACTCAAAAGTGCTGTGGTCTCCTTTCAGTCTCATCAGCTTCCTATATAACATAGACAGTCAGCCTGCTGGGAAACGCTGCTCCTGACTGCCACTGTGTTCAGGAGTGAGTTAAAGGGGTCATATGATGCTGCTAAAAAGAACATTATTTCGCTCCTTAATACAAGCAAATAATGAAGTGCTGTTTGTTTTAAAGAGACGACTGGACAGGACTAAACATGGAAAGTGTAGAAAAATGTAGGCTTCAGTTTTACCTTCCACTCAAAGGCAGATAAATATTTATATTTGCCAAATTTATGTTTTAGTTTTCAATAAACATTTAGTTCTGCTCTTTTAATCAATGTTGATAACAGTTGCGCTGCTTAAATTCCTTGTGGAAACTTCGATAAGTTGTAGTTCCTGATTCTTTGATAAACAGTTCAAAAGCATAGTATTTTTGAAATAGAAATATTTTTTTGTCTTTACTATCATTTTTAATCATTATATATATATATATATATATATAAATGTTTTTTTTTTTTTTAAACATCTGAACAACGCTTTTCAGGCCAGCTGTTTTCTGGATATTGTCCTTCTCTGTTCTAGTCCTTCTTGCTCCACTGAGTTTTACTATGGATGATATTATGAAAACAAGGTAGTCAAACAGTTCTATAAGGGAATATGACCTTTTATGTTCGTGCAGGTGGATTCTGCCTCTGTGTGATTCATATGGGTTGTTTGAATATTATCATCATCGGTGTGCGATTAGATCTGCAGCGCATGACTGGTTCAAAAGATCTTATTTTCTAAAGCGAACTTGTGTCCCCTCACCAGGAAATGCAGGGACCCATTTTTTCCCACAGTTAGCCTGCTGACATCCCCTAGTATCCATGGTAACGTGCATCAATTGACCCATTTAGAATCAAAAGATTGAGAGGTTCTGAAAGACGCTGCAGCATGCGAGCGTGAACAGGACGCAAAGCAAGCATCGGATGGAGTAGTAAACAGTTCTGGTTGGGAAAACATGACTTTTCCTTATTAAGAATTTTTTTTTATTTTTCACCGAACAAAATGGTCACTGAAACTTAAAAACTGTGTTTTAATGTATTTATAGTAAAATTTATTTAATTTAATGTGCCCAGAAGAAACCTTACGTACCCAGATCCCCCAAAAAAACAGGGCAAAGACTTGCTGTCTTCTTGGCCTGTTTACATGTCTCTGACTGTGCCCTTGTAAAAGTTCTGGGGGGGATGAACCAGGTCATCCATTTCGAACAGTAAGCACATGTCCTCAACTAGACAGATTTGCTGCATTTGCCCAGTGTCAATCGAACATGGTGGCAGACATTCTGGCTCACTGAAAGGGCTCAAAGGCACTCCATGTTTTCGACACTTTAATGTAAACATAACAGAGTTCTTAACGTGTCGGATCAGGACAAACACTTCTAAACATAGTCATCTCATCTGTTGAATGTAGGCCACTGGGTCTAGAGGTGTCTAACATAAACAGCGAATGTGTTGTTAAAAGAGACTTGACAACATTTTATTTCCATACACGGACGTAGTCTCTGGTAGCTTGTGGCACAAAGTCTGGTCCACAGTGGTGTTTTCTCAATTATGTCAGTATATTCAGAACTAACTGTATTAAAATGATTTTCTTTTATAAAGGAATAGTGCTTAAAATGCCTTGAATTCTTGCTTCCACAGAGGTGCTGATTAAAGTCCAGGTATTTGACAACAGCGACCTGTCACCATTAAAGGAATCCACAGTTCAGGTGTGTGGAAACCAGACGGTCTTAGCATCCAGCCTTGCAGGAGGAGATGGGATTGTCACAGTTACGTTCCTGTACCGGCCAGGAACATGGGTCATCGTCACGGCATCAAAGCACAGATTTGTCACAAACTCAGCACCCTGGCAAGCCAGTCGCATCCCACGTGAGTACTTCCTGTACTACTATAGGACTGAACATTTTTTACATAGTGTCAGGGGAAGCCTGCAGTTTATTGTTAGAAACGGAGTAGTTTCTAACTACTAAGAGAGGTTTCATTCTGAAATTCACACGCATTAACTGGACTTCCTGTCAAAATTGCTAGAGCAAGACCAGTTGGTGTTTATGGGCTTGTCTGGAATCATGTTAATCCCTTATTAAAAATGAGGGGTATAGCTTAAGCATTTGCCTGCAGATTAAAAGGTTCCTGGTTTCAATCTAGATGCCCCAAATTTTACCATTTAATTAGGTTGCTTTTGAGTAACCTTGGAAAGAAACACAAAAATTTATATCCAATAACCCCTGATTTATATTATGTATTTAGCACACACTTTTATCCAAAGCATCTTCAAGTACATTTAAGGTAAATGTATTATTGGTTTATTAGCTATTACATTGCAATTTCAAGTGCAACTGTTAGCATGATGACATTTTTGCTCATGGCCTCAGTGAACTTTCCAAACCTGACGAGTGATTTGCGATCTGTTGGCTACATCCTATTATTTAGATGAGCCATCTAGATCTGTAATCCACATGGAGCTTTGCACACAAATGGACAGGAATGTTAAACAACACTCACTGGGGTGTGGAGCGTGCTGACCCACGTTGTGATACCTAGCAGCTGTTCGGAGTCGGACCCCAGACGGTCATGTCCTCTTTTGACTCTCTCGCTCTACAATTGGTTTAATTTTATTTGGACCACAGCGTGTTCTCCGCCGCCCCTCTCTCCACCCAAACCCCACCCAGTTATGTGGTCAGACCTCTGGGGAGGGGAGGCAGTGAAATCATGTATTTCAGCATAAAGCTGTCTGTACGAGCAGCTGGAAGCCACTTAGCCAGTGGGGTTACAGATATGGAGGCAGCCAGCAAATGTGGCTCCATGTCGTGCCAGACCAGCCGGGCTGGTGGATGAAGGCATCTTTAGTATGACATTATCCTCTTGGGGGGGCATTACACACATTCCCATTGAGTCACACCAAATTAGGAGTCAGAAATGTGGATGACCAAGATTGTGCAGATGAAATGAAGTTGAGGTAGATAGGAGGTTTTTGAATTAATTGAAATGGGGGGACAGATCAGACGGAGTTTATGTTATTCAGGTCAGTTTACAGGAATCCGTTTAAGATTAAGATACTATGCCCAAGGTCTGAGGAATATAAAATATTTATAATATATTCTTTTTTTTATTATTTGACATGACCAACCAACCAATCAACATTTGGTATTATTTGAATGTGCTTTTATTTGGCCATTAAGATTCTTAAAGACAAAGTTCCCTTGCCAGTAAACTTCTATTATGGCTGATCCTTGTGTCACAACTCAAAAGCAAGTACAGTTGGTAAGTAAAGTTTGGAATTGATGAAGATTTTCTCCACAAGCTTTTGGTTCGATTAAATTTTTCAATTCATGATTCATTTAGGTATATTTTTGTTTGACTAATCTGGTTCTGCCGTGTGTTTGTTTTTGCGTGTAGGCCGGAAGGACATCTCTTTTCCCGCCATTTAACCTGTGAGATATTTAAAATATTTAAAACAGTATTAATAAATGTTTATATTTTTATATTTGTTAAATAATTTATACATAATAGCAATTTAAAATTTATATAAAATATAAAAAAGAGAGAGAAAAAGTTCTGATTCACTAGCTTTCAGTTAGATTTTATTTTTTGATTCGGTTTCATTTAGGGATATTTTAAGTTTCATTTAATTAAATTTTCATTTTCAAGTATATTTGTGACTACTCTGGTCCTACTCTGTGTTTGTTTGTTTGATTGTTTGTTTTTGCATGCAAGTTGGAAGGAACACTTATTTCCCACCATTTTGTTTGTATAATTTATATATATATATATATATATTAAAGGCTGTAATTAAAGCAAAAGATGGTTCAACAAAATACTGACACAAGGGGGTGTTCCTTTTTCCAACTCAGTGATTCTGTTTTTTGTTTTTTTTTCTGACATGTTGGTGTTGTATCTTTAACTTGGATGTTATAAGTTGCACTGAGTAAATACAGCTGGATAAAACAAAAACTGTCTCCATCTTCATTTCATGCTGCAAAGCAACAAAATGTGATTATTTTAAAGGGGAGTGATTGATTCTTTTCTATAGCCACGGTATGTGTATATAAACAGGCAATGTTAGGCCCTGTGCATTTACTTCAGTATGTGGTTTGCTAACAACACATGCCTGTGATGCCAGTAATGGCTGTAATATTACTACTAGTTGACAAAATCCTTTTAATTGGCAGACTCATGTTTTCATCTGGATGGTTGTTTTATTACAGAACAGATGGATTACATGACTTAGCAGGGGTGTGACAGCTGTGCGAAAGTGACGGGATGCCAGTCATTTGACCAATGACAGTGCATTGGTCTGTACTCCAACCCCAGATTGCATACTGAAGGTTTCTATAGTGTTGTCACCATTTTTTTGTGTATGTGATTTAGCTTTCTGAAGGTTAGCATTTTTGACTCCCATCTATTTGGTACGAAAGCCATCTGCCCCCCATCCCTCCTGCCTTTAGTCTCTTAGCCATGCTGAAAAAGGATTTCCAAAAAAAAAAACCAGCAGTGTCATGGAGTTTTAACTGTCCCCGCAGCACTTTGATAATCTGAGTGAGTCACGCGAACTCGGAGAGTGAGTCATTCTCACAGAGTGATGAAGCAGTTGCTTGCGGCTCAGATTAAATCAACTGAAGTCGGGAACACTTGTTCTTTCCTCCATTGGCCTATCTCTCTTATTCCATTATGGTTTAACTGAATAACTCTATTTTACTTATTTTAAAGAGCTCATGATATCAAAATTGGATTTTGTGGCATTCAGTTCATGTTAATATTAGCTTAAAACCTTCTACAATGGCAAAAATGCATTTGGATACCTGAAGGGATAGTTCACCCTCACCCTCATGTTATTCCAAACCGGAATTCATTTAGTTTTTCTGTGTAACACAAAATACTTTATTTAAAAAAAAATACAGTCATAGAGTTTTGGAATGACAGGAGAGTGAGTAAGTGCTCATTTTTGTGTGAATCTGCAGCACCTATTTAAAATTATGACCAATAAAGCTTAATATTAAAGCCTAATATTAAAATTCTATATTATGTTATCTAAATAAATTAGAAATAATCTACAAGTGAATTTAGACATGCATAGTATGTAAAATGGATATTCATTTTGAGATCTGCAAAAGATTACATTTAACAGTGCTATTAAATTATTAGTGTTTTTAAAGATTAACTGAGCGTTAGATGACCCCTAACCTTGGCTGATAACAGATATTGTACCAATATAGTGTGCATCCCGAGACATCATTCTGGCTGAATTCTGTATTATCAAAGCAGGGGGTGTATAAATGTGTATTGTGTTGTCACAATGCTGTAGAAAATAACTAAGGTTACAAATGATGTAAAATGAAACCACACAATGCCAATGCAGTACCCTCCCTCTCTTCATACGCACTTTTCTTTGAGCTTCTAGCTAATGCAATGTGGGCAGTATTGTTGTCACTGCCTCTGTTTTGTGTCCTACCAAGCAGAATATTAAAGAGACCAGAGCCCCTTCTGTTCAGGGCATCTGTGCTGTGTGTGTGTGTGCTTGTATGCATAACTGCACGGGTGTAAATGTGCATGAATTGGCTGTGTCACGTTTCCCCCAGTTTGTTCCTTCAAGTGACAAGCTTTTTTGATGTCAGAGCTGGGAAAATCTGAATGTAATATAATCTGCACTTGGGTCCTGATATCTTCTGGTAGCCTGTTTAATATAAAGCAGACAGTCCCTATAGAATCTTATTAAACCTTTTTATTGTTGTTGTTATTGTTAATAAGCTTCTATTAGATTGAAGAGCTTCATGTTCTCATGAAATAAACACTGTAAAACATGAGGTGTGGATAGGCAGGGGTGAGATTTCAATGTGCCATAGCAGATGGGAAATGGACACAGGATTTCTGCTCCCAGCATGCAACAGTCTTCTGGAGCTCAGCCAGCATATGTCCTCCTGCCCACAGAGGAGCACTGAAGGGTGAGGTACATTTAGATTAGCTGACAAAGATCATAGTTTTAGTGCAAGAAAATGAACTAAAAAAGATTTTAAAGTTAAAGAAATATTTAATGTTGGCATGCCAATGGGTAACCTTCTCATACTTCACATGATATGTCAAAGGCTCTGATGTTTGCATTTAGATGTATGTCCTCTGGACAAAATATTGATGGGTCCAAAACAAAGACCCACTGAAGGCCAAATGAGCTGATGTATGACTTCCTGTCGAACATTACCACACCATCAGCTCCTTTGGCCTTCAGGGCTATCTCAGATTTGGTCAGGTTTTACTTGTTTGAAGTGAGATCAGGGATTCCTGCTGTGTTGCAAACCTGAGGAGTTGACTGTGCCGAGTCATGTCTCACACCTGTGAGCTATAGCAGCTACATCTGGTGAACTGCTGTATATTCTTACATCAAAAAACAAAAGTCTTGTGTTCTCCAGGGTCAATGATCCCTGAAAATGAAAGCAAGTGGATGGTTTACTGATGTAGATCACAGAAAAACAATAGCATATAAATGATGCTAAGTAAGATGCAGTAAGACAACCCCAACCCTGGTCCTGGAATACCCCCAACAGTACACACCATTTGGACATCTCTCTTATCTGACTCACCCATTTTAGGTCTTTGAGGCCCTGTTTACACCTGGTATTGAAATGCATTTTGATCGATTGAATCACAAGTAGACAAGGGACACATTACCATGTAATCCTGGTGTTTTAATCCATCTCTTCTGTCCACTTTCGGCCACTTCTGTCCTGATTTTGAGGGGAGGGTCTTTGGGCAAATGTATGTATGGGCTTTTTCTGATCTTTTGATTTAATATTGCGAAATAAGCTTACCCAATTTACATAAAAATGTGAAAGGAGACAACAAAAATGATACGAAGGGCAGCAGCTTTCGTTTCTGCTATGATAGCTGCAAAATGATGTCGAACGCTTTGGGTTTGTTTTAGAATCAGGACTGGTAAGGGAACATTGACATTTTTTCACCTTCAACCCAAACTTACGATTCCAGATGGCAAGTTTAAATCCTGTCTGGCTAACACGCTTCAACTACTCGTCCCATAAAGTTTTAGTTTTAGGTCAGGAGGCAGAGAGGAGGCGGTCTTTTGTGGCTGTTCGAATGCATGCGACCACATGTGCATCCACACTACGAGAGCAATTTGATCGAATGTGTTTTCGACTACCTCTGGAAGTGGTCTAAAGTGGACAAGCTTAAAAGGTTTTACACCCCATTAACACCTGTATTTAGCATCATCCATTTGTGATCGGATCGACCAAAATGCATCTTAATACCAGGTGTAAACAGGGCCTGTGTCTCTACTAATGAACTAATAAGAGGATTCAGATAAGTTTTTGAATAGGGAAAAATACAATATGTGCAGAGTTGGGATACTCCAGGACCAGGGTTGGGAACCACTGCAGTAAGATACTAAGTAAGATTCTTATTATTAGTGTTGAAAACAGTTACAGTGCTTAATACTTTGTGGAAACTATGATACTTTTTTCATGATTATTTGAAGAATAGAAAGTTCAAAAGAACAGCATTTATTTGAAATAGAAATGTTTTGTAATATTGTAAATGTCTTTTCTGTCACTTTTGACCAATTTAATGCATCATTGCGGACAAAAAGTATTAATTTCTTTACAAATTTTTTTTTTTACTAACCCTAAATATTTAAATGCTAGTGTACTAATGCTTCTGTTTTTGTTTCTCTCTCACTTGTGTTTCAGTATACGCCTCCGTAAGTCTGTACTTACTTCCCCAGAGACCAGCCACTCTCTTGCTGTATGACAATGTGGTGCAGTTACTGTTGGGTTCTCCAGGTGAGCTTTTTTTCTGTTTTTAGCCTTAAAGTGACAGTTCATCCAAAAATTTAAGTTCTGTCAGCATTTGTTCTCATTCATGTCCTTCCAAACCAGTATGACTTTCTTTCTTCTGTGGAACATACAGGAGGATATTGAGAAATATAAAGTGTTGTTTACAGTGGAAGCCAATGGGCTCAAATATTGTTTGGTTCCCAGCATTTTGCAAAATATCTTCCTTTGTGTTGCACAGAAGAAAGGTTTGGAACAACATGAGGGTGAGTAAACGGTGACTGTCCCTTTAACCGTAGCCTTAAAGAGCCTCAACTCTTACCACTCTTAATCTTTTTATTTATTTATGTGCTATGAAAAGGGGAATGGGAATTACTAGGGAGAGAAAGGGATCAGTACATCACAGTTTGGGCTCATACCTATGATAACCATATGAGTACCAAAATGTTTCAGTATGTTTGACCTATGCTTTATGTCTGTCTTTAATACGGGTTTACTGATTCTCTGTGGCGATTCAGCCAGGCTGTGTTCCACATGGTTAGCTTGGAATCTGAGATCCAAATGCAGCTCCATTGATTCACACACATCCTGCGGTGGTTACATGTGCAGATGTGTGGAACTGCTGAGTTGGTTGTTTAATAATCAGGCTAACACTATAGTCTCGTATCTCAAGCGCTGCCAATAAGCAGACACAATTTAACTGAGACTGGACGCAATGCCTGCTAGCTATTTCACCACGTTGCATGCTCAATAAATGTCATTAAGATTTACAAACGTGATCAAATGACACATTTGCTTTGGAAAGAGGTTGTTTCCTCTGGCAACGTAAGGAAGATTTAGAGAAACTGCTGGCTGTGTTGCCTGGGTGGCTTGTGTGTTTTGCAGTGCCAGTCAGGTGTTTAATAGAGTGTTATGGCTCAAATTATGGTTGTGGGAAAGTGACTTTTAGTTAAATGCTTTCTGGGTGGGAAGTGATTTTACCTAATGTGCATCATGCAAACTTGAATATCAAAGCCCTGCATATCCTCGATGAATCAACCAATAGTTTTTAAAATGGATACTTAGCGAAAACTAAAATAGTGCTTTACCATAAAAAAGAAGTATTGAACCATACTTTGAAAATGAATACAAATACTATTAATTATATATTGATCATTAAAGTTAGTTCATAGTTCATTAACTAATGTTAACAGAAGCTACTTTAAAATTTAAAAATGTATTAGTTAATGTTGAAATTAACACACTCTAACAAGGAACAATATTCTACAGCTTTTTATCAACCTTAGTTAATGTTACAAATGGACTCTTATTGTAAAGTGTTACCATTTCATTTCAACAGTCATGTTTAAAGATGGTCATCTTTAAATATCTACACAAAGGCCATAGCACTGAAATTACATACATATGGATATTGTATGTATACTATCACACTTTATTTGCTTCTGTTTGAAAACATTTGATTATCTAATTAAAATAACAAAATATGTTAGTCACACAACGGGCAAAAGCACAGCACCGCGTCGCATCTAGGACAACTCGCAGGTATCAGGTATCACCCACACACCGGACGCAACACGTTCAATTCAAGCAGCGGTCTAAAACTGTTTATTTAATCACCGGGCAAAAGTTTACTTCAAGAATGAACAAAGTAGCATAGATGAGTTTGAAGTTCGGTGTTAAAAAAAAAACAGAGCAAACGGAAAGAGAAAGAGCGATCTATATTATAGCTCTCTATATGAAGCACACAGACTTTATTAAATCCGCAGAAAGACAAACATTTCGCTGAAAAATGCACAATACACAATTTTACAACCTAGAGTGAAGTCATTATGATTTGGGACAAATATAATGTAATTTAATGGAAAACTGTGTGACTGGCGCTCAGTTGACTGAATCACCATATCAGAGTTTGCTTTCTCGCATCACATCTTTAAATCTGCAACTTTGCTGGCTAACAAATGCAATAATGTGACCAGCTGGATATAAACTAATGCAAATAGATGGTAACAATCATGACATTAAACATTTGGGTCGGACTTGCATGTGTTTTGTGTGTAGGCATCCTGATGCAGCTCTTTCTACCTGATGCTTATCAATTTAATGAGCTTGATCTCTCTGTGCATATAGGGGTGTCTCTGATGTACTCAGTGATTATAGTTACATGCACTCAAAAGGTGCAGTGTCCTCCCATTCCCTCTTCGCTGAAAGCATGACAGCTTGCTCTTGTTCCCTCTTCACATTCAGTAAGAGAGGCTCTCGCACCAGAATACCATCAGTGTCTCCAAGCTGTTCCAGAAATAAATGGGCAACTTGTTGGGCCCAGCACAGAAAAAGGTCTCGCTGACTGATTTAGACATTTTAATAAGGGCGTAAAGTCTTTGAGTAATTGTACATTACTGTACCAAAGTGTTAGTTTTTTTTTTTTTTTTACCTGGCTTGAGTGATACTGAAAATGGATACAGTGAGAATTGTCAGGAGGTCACAGATGCTTTACGTATTCCTTTAGATCTTTCCATCTAATTAAAAAAGCTTAAACTTAAGTTTTATTTAAGCAGCCAGTGAAATAAACAGTATATGTAATAATGTAATAATGTGGCGTCATACCACAGGTGTTGACCTACAGCTGAAGATATATGAGCTTGAATTGAATTTCAACACTCTCAACAATCAGTCTATAAACAACTATATTAAAATGCCAAACAACTGTAAAACAGTTTTTGTAGTATTTATACACTATCATAGAATTTAATCATATTTTGAATTTATTTTTATTTATAAAAGTAAATTTTTTGTCTAATATTTATTTATTTATTTTATTTAAATTCAAGCTTTATTTCAATTACTAAAAACTAAATTTGTGTAGTTTTATTTAATAAAAACAACTGTAATAATAACAGCTGTTAAATCAGTCTCAGATAATTGCAGGATTCTAGTTTCAGTTTTAACATCTGATGTGTCGTGGATGATTACATAATCAGGTACCTGTTTAACTGAAATTAAACAGGTTGCTTTACAATTGTGTGCATCAAAGCTACTGTAGTGATAATATAGCCTTTATCGCTTATCTTTATCTCTCTTATACAGTGGTGTGAAAAAGTGTTGGCCCCCTTCCTGATTTCTTATTTTTTTGCATGTTTGTCACACTTTAATGTTTCAGATCATTCATATATATAGCATATATATATATGCTACAGTCATATAAAAAAAATCACGTCTATTGTGAAAATAGGAAAATAATGAACAACTTCTAAACATGTTTTTAAATGCTATATTATATTTGTAATATATTTATTTACTAGAGCAGAAGTTTAAGTATAGAATTGTAGGGAAAGTTATTTTGTATTATTCTATTTTTTTATATATTTATATACGTATATATATATTTATGGAATATATCATGTTGTGTGTATATATGAAATTATTTAATAATATATGAAATTAGGTAAATAAGTATGTTTAGGCATCCATTTAAGTTGTACTGCACCACCCACTCTCAGAGAACAACATGATGCTTACTGAGAGAAGTAGAGGGAGATCAGGACTCACACTAGCGTTTTTTTTTTTCATGCCTCAAAACCCATTACCATGGCAACTTTGGCAGTGGCAGTAGAATGTGCATTTTGTAACAGGAGGGGTTATTATTAAAGTGTTGCATATCTGTCTCTGCTGCGTGGGAGGAATGTGTCATGTAAAACCTGATCTGAGATCTGCTAGTCTGTCAGTGAGGGTTTGCTGCTGACCACTGTTGTAAAGAGCTTGTCAATGCCTCCTGTATTGAGAAAAGCCATGCACAATACAACATGTGCCTTAATTGTTTTGTTCAAACATGCACCTTCAGAGTATTTGTTTGCAGAGTCGGGTTATGTTTTTGGGAGTGTTTTTATGAAAAGTGAGTCAAGCGAATGCACTGACAGAGACAGCCTAAACTCTGAGCCGTAGCGTGGGTGGACTTTTGTGTTCACAGCATGCCCGCCTGAAAAGAAGTTACTCAATTGATTTGGGCTTCAGGGTTTGTTTAGAAACATGCAAATATAAATGGGGAAATTGGATGTTTGAATAGGCATTGTTGTATGTGATTGCTGTGTTTGTATATCTGGATGTCTTTAGGTGCATTTTAATTGGTGTGAATTTAGAATAATACTGGATTGAACTGAATTGCAATTTTGATACACTTGTCAATATTTGCAGTGACTACAATCACTTTACAAAAAAGAACAATTTATTATGATAGCCCTATCTCTAGTTAAATCTACCTTAAAACTATGCATAAATCAGTCTTCTAACATCCTCTCTCTTCTTCATTTTTCCAATCTCTGGCCAAGAGGGGCATTATGTCTTCCTCTCCCAACAGAGCTCAAGCACATCTGTAACTGAGAACATGTGCAATGAAGAGAGAGTTGAGAAATGACTTTGTTTGACTAGAGAGGGAGGCGAGGTGAAAAAGGAGGGATGTGTTTTTCTGAGAATAAACTGGTGAGAATCAAGCGGGAGTGTGAGTGGAATGTAAATCTCCTGAGACCTGCTTGCATGAACAGCTTCCAGGCACAGGGCCTATTGAGATACAGAGATCTATTGAGTCATTCTTACTGCTGTAAATCAAACCATTGACAAAATGGCAGTCTGCAGGTGATCGCCATAGAATGTCATCATTCAGACATTGATAATTATATGACTTAATGTGGTTTTCCAGTGTGGCTTACATGCTCAGAAAGTGCACTAATCCTTTTGATAGATAGCTAATCTCCAGTACCGGATAAAGATTACATAAGAAATGCTTGTTTGGATGAACTGACTGATTGCTACCATATGGGGGTGGGAGGTATGGCCAGAGTCATATTTCATATGAGTATTTTTAATACCATTTCATATAGGGATGTGCACAAATAGTTGAATATTAGAATACACAATATGTAATTATTATTTGAAAAATAAAAACACTATTTGAATTTTACTACGTTTTGCTTTGCTGGCCGTAAATGCAGGGAATCCATGATAAATCCTAAGCACGCAAACTAAAAGTCAGTTATAACTAAATGCACTGGGTGGTGCTGTTAACAAGTTGAATGTGTTTGGTTCTTTGATCAAGTGTGAGCCGAGAAGAGAGCTTATCTGATAGCGAAATGATCTTGAGACATATGCTTTAAGTTTCCTAGAGGGAAAGTGGTTTAAGAAAAGAAAACACAAAGCGCTGTAAGAAACTTTGCTGAGCACACCATTATCTTTGTGTCACGGGAACCCCTGTCGGCGCACATTCTTATTGTTTTCAGATAAAAGGAAACCTTGAGATATAATGTTACGTTGTTGTAGAACGTTGTGTATAATGCCTAATCAAAAGCTTCTTCAGAAACGGTGACAAACTCGATTAAAAAATAACGTCTTTCTTGTTAAACGTCATTTAAATAAACAAATACTCGTTTTTTTTATGAGCCCAAATATTCTAATACAATATTTTTTTTAAATGTCCATATACCTAATGTCATACTGATCACAGTAATAGTATGTATCACAAAATATATGCAGACAGTTTATATTTTTTGTTTATATTTTAACAACTGTGTAACAAAGCCTAATTTTAGAAAATGAATTAAATACTTTGCAAATGAAATGTACTTTAGAGTTTATATTACTGGCTGTGACCTATAATAATGGTTATATAATAATGGTTAACTTTTCTGAGGTAAAATGCAATATTATGTAACAATTATCTCTAATACTCATGACATAAAAATTCAGCTGGGTAATTAATGTTTTTTTTTTTTTTTTTTTTTTTTTTTTTTTTTTTTTTTCAAATTTGCATTTATTTAGCAGACACATTCATCCAAATGTGTAATAATTTATCCAATTAATGAATCCAATTTATATTAATAATTATTTGTAAGCAGATGGTACACATTCATTTAACTCTGACCCCAAGCTGGCCATTCTCACAATTGAATGTATCTATGTCAGAGTGGGTAACAGGCACTCAGCATTAACTCTCATTGTTTTCCTCAGACAGATTGACCCCAAGGTCAGCCATACTAATCTATAGCATTCAAACAGCCCTCTGTACAAAAGGCCCACTGATGCTACTAAAATCTATGGCTTTGTCATGGAAATGGTGATAAATTGGCTGGTGCAGTTGAGGGAAGAGCACTTTAGTTATTTTTCATGAGTAGTATGTCTCTTTGGTGAGCTGACTCCCTCAGGGGTTTTCATTTTCTCAATCTAGCTCTCTGTCCGTCTTTAGAATGATATGAGTCAGTGAACACTCCCCTTTGAACCGGAAAGGTTTTGCTTTGCTTCACTAATATTGGGCCTGTTGGTAGCATTTCAAAGTAGGCCCAGTTGCCCAACTAAAAGAGAATAAAGTAAACCTAGAAGTTTGGGGAGACACAATGGTCAGTGATAAGAAATGCATTGTTTTCCATTTACTTTTTATGTCATCTGTAAATTGACATTTGTGATGTTTATCACTGAGCATCTCTCTGATAGAAGGAGGTCTCATCAGGGAGGCCAACCACATGATTTTGCACATGAAGGGGATTCACTAGGCAATTCAAAATGCCCAAGCTCCTTAGGAGGCTTGCCATTTGGCAAAGCACCAGTCCCAACTAGACTGTTCCGTTCTTTTACTGCATAATCATAGTTTTCAGTGTCAGGTTTACAGGGGATCAACCCATCTGCAGTCCAATCCTTGTGCAATCCTAGAGGAAATGCAAGCTTTGTTAGTCAGATGCTGTTGCTGCCCTTCTTGTCATCATGTAAGATGCAAATCGCTGCTTGTGTCACGGTATGCAATTAGGCTAAGAGACAGAAACTTAAAGATATTAGTCAGTGAGTAGGCTATCACATTATCCTTGCTTTTTATAGCCTAATTGAATCTCATGCTTGTCTTAAATGCTGGTATTTGTGTTTGTTTCTGTTGCTCAAATGGAGATGGTTAGGCAAATGGTATCTGGTTTAATTTTAGAGATTCCTGTGGATGATTTGCGCTGTATTAGTTTGTCCTCTCATCAAGAGCTGGATATGGTAAGTAATAAATGAATAACTGTGGCCAAAAGAGGGAGTGTCACAGCCTGCCTGCTTTCAGTGGTCCCCAAGCACTGTCATGCTATCCTAGATGTCTGGGCTGATCAGTGACCGGCTAACCCAGCACTAATCAGAGCAGACAGCCTACAGTGAGAGATACACGCTTATATTTTTAGGCCTTATTATTCTCTTATTCCTATTTGCCTCTTCCACACGAAGCGAGCCAAGTGGAGGAGGGGAAGGGATTACTGCAGTGTGGATTCTGAGCTCTGTATTCTTCTTGTAAAATGTTTCAAGAAATTCAAGAAACTCCATTGTTACCCCCATTCTGGGAAAAATTGTCTTTATCTGTCTTGAGATATTTTTAGCAATTTCTTAAAAATTATTAGCCCTGCCCCACAGTTTTCACATAAAGTTACCTTGCAATTCCTCTCTCTGACAGGCAAGAGAGGAGAGTAAAGCAAAGCAGCTATAGCAGAGAAATGTTGAATCACTATAACACTCATTATAACAGCAACATTGGTTAAAGGAAGTGGTTGTTGACAGAATCCTACAAAACTGCATTAACTAGTAAAACACATGGAAACAACAAACCCCAGAGCAGCTCATTATTAGGGCTGGGAAGCAATAACTGGCAATAACTTATTCAGAACAACAGTCATACAGGGCAGACATTGTAGTCTGATTTGCGAAACATTTATGACTTAATTCTTTGTCATAAACCATAAATTCCTTACAATTAATTTATCCGTACTCACTATACCTGTAAATTTTTATTAAAGTCTTTTATAAATCCCTGTTGTCTAGGATCCCGGAGACAGCCATGGGTACAGCTTCAGAGGAGAGCCATCCGACCACCCCTAAACAGCTCCCAAATCACCCTCTCTGCAAGGCTCACCTCTTCCCGTAGTCAGTATGAGCTTGGGGGCTTTCCTTACCCCCTTGCCTTGGAGAACAACTCTACAGGTGAGATTATCCAAACACCTCTTCAAAGAAATATGTTTCCGTGGAGTTACCATGCATCTAGCATTACTCATTGTTTTCCATTTACTTTTTATGTCATCTGTAAATTGACATTTGTGATGTTTATCACTGAGCATCTCTCTGATAGAAGGAGGTCTCATCAGGGAGGCCAACCACATGATTTTGCACATGAAGGGGATTCACTAGGCAATTCAAAATGCCCAAGCTCCTTAGGAGGCTTGCCATTTGGCAAAGCACCAGTCCCAACTAGACTGTTCCGTTCTTTTACTGCATAATCATAGTTTTCAGTGTCAGGTTTACAGGGGATCAACCCATCTGCAGTCCAATCCTTGTGCAATCCTAGAGGAAATGCAAGCTTTGTTAGTCAGATGCTGTTGCTGCCCTTCTTGTCATCATGTAAGATGCAAATCGCTGCTTGTGTCACGGTATGCAATTAGGCTAAGAGACAGAAACCTAAAGATATTAGTCAGTGAGTAGGCTATCACATTATCCTTGCTTTTTATAGCCTAATTGAATCTCATGCTTGTCTTAAATGCTGGTATTTGTGTTTGTTTCTGTTGCTCAAATGGAGATGGTTAGGCAAATGGTATCTGGTTTAATTTTAGAGATTCCTGTGGATGATTTGCGCTGTATTAGTTTGTCCTCTCATCAAGAGCTGGATATGGTAAGTAATAAATGAATAACTGTGGCCAAAAGAGGGAGTGTCACAGCCTGCCTGCTTTCAGTGGTCCCCAAGCACTGTCATGCTATCCTAGATGTCTGGGCTGATCAGTGACCGGCTAACCCAGCACTAATCAGAGCAGACAGCCTACAGTGAGAGATACACGCTTATATTTTTAGGCCTTATTATTCTCTTATTCCTATTTGCCTCTTCCACACGAAGCGAGCCAAGTGGAGGAGGGGAAGGGATTACTGCAGTGTGGATTCTGAGCTCTGTATTCTTCTTGTAAAATGTTTCAAGAAATTCAAGAAACTCCATTGTTACCCCCATTCTGGGAAAAATTGTCTTTATCTGTCTTGAGATATTTTTAGCAATTTCTTAAAAATTATTAGCCCTGCCCCACAGTTTTCACATAAAGTTACCTTGCAATTCCTCTCTCTGACAGGCAAGAGAGGAGAGTAAAGCAAAGCAGCTATAGCAGAGAAATGTTGAATCACTATAACACTCATTATAACAGCAACATTGGTTAAAGGAAGTGGTTGTTGACAGAATCCTACAAAACTGCATTAACTAGTAAAACACATGGAAACAACAAACCCCAGAGCAGCTCATTATTAGGGCTGGGAAGCAATAACTGGCAATAACTTATTCAGAACAACAGTCATACAGGGCAGACATTGTAGTCTGATTTGCGAAACATTTATGACTTAATTCTTTGTCATAAACCATAAATTCCTTACAATTAATTTATCCGTACTCACTATACCTGTAAATTTTTATTAAAGTCTTTTATAAATCCCTGTTGTCTAGGATCCCGGAGACAGCCATGGGTACAGCTTCAGAGGAGCGCCATCCGACCACCCCTAAACAGCTCCCAAATCACCCTCTCTGCAAGGCTCACCTCTTCCCGTAGTCAGTATGAGCTTGGGGGCTTTCCTTACCCCCTTGCCTTGGAGAGGGTTGCAACATGGAGTTTAATCCATGTTTTGCTATTACTGTCTGCCTTGTTTCAGGAACCAACAGTAGCTGGGTGGAGCTAACTGCTCTAGCTGCAATGTGTGCTCAGCTCACTGGGCCCAACGGCACTGAGGTCCAGGTGTCAGAACCCATTCACATCTCCATCCCCCTTCCTTCTGACTCACCTCTCAAGACTGCCACCAGTGTCCCAGTATGGAGGTTCGAGGACAGGACAGGTAAACAGCATTTAACAAAATTTTGGTTAACTTTAAACAACAGTATGCAAATAGAAAATGTTATCCAACGTTACTCCTTACAGGGCTCAAACTAGAAACTTTGTTATCAGTGTGATCAGGAGGGTGATCATGAATGCCCATTTCGATGACACCATGTTCTATTTACCCTTTTGCTGATCCAGATTCTACAGCAGCCTATTACCCGATAGTTCAGGGGTGCCCAATCCTGTTCCTGGAGAGCCACTATCCTGCAGAGTAGGCTTGCCGCGATAGACGGTGCTGATGGTGATACTGGTGTTAAGCCACAACACCAGTTACGTCACTTGCCCACCGCGTCACCGACAAGAAGCAGAGTGATGGAAAGAAAAATAGTTAATAAAGGAGGAAAGATGGAGAATGACACTGTGGAATTTCCAGATCTAGTTGAGAGCCATTCAAGCAGAATCAGATAAAGTGAGAGCAGGTGAAGTGAGTGTGCAGTACAAATCAAAGAAGCTGTTAGGTCTTCTCACATTGGAGAGATAATTGCCTGCCAATTCATAAAGCAGACATTGACCCCATCATGACATAGCTCCCAAAACAGGATGTGATTTAGTACCTGGCAAGCTTTGCAGAATTCCCTAGATCCTTCACTGATGCCAGCTTAATAAAGAGAACAGCTCTGGTGGAAAAATCAATATGACTAAAAGAGGGTACCGGCTCACTTTCTGGCTTTACATTCAGGTCTTAGTTTTCCGTAGATTGCTCTTGATATAGTTGCACGTCATTCCAGGTTATCTTGTACATCTGTGATACATTTTTTCAGCTCTTCACCCTAATGTCTGGGCTGCTTATTTAGCTCTCTCCTAAAGTGTGGTTAAAGGTTCATTTAACCTCTCTTAGCTCCACAGAGAAATCTTAAATGATTTTAAACTAAGCAGCTTAGTCTATAGCAACCTAATCCCAACTTCCCCTTTTACCCACAGTAGGCAAATGAATGACTGGTCAGGGAATGTAATCAGACTCCCTGGTTTGCTATGGTAACGTTTTGACAGATGCCCATCAAAGGGCATTAGAAGTTGTTGTGTAGTGTTTGTTTTATTATACAGTATCCTATTTATGAAACTTTTGAATTGACATCTATCTATCTATCTATCTATCTATCTATCTATATATATATATATATATATATATAAAATTATAATAATTGTAATTGTACAATAATAATATAATTGTTTGACACTTTCAAAAGCTGAAATGTTTACATTGTTTTATTTATTAGTAAGAATATGTAACTCAATATTTTAAGTAATTGTAAAAGTTGAATAATATAAGCTTTAATATAATAATTAATATCGTTAGATATCGTTATAAATCGTTAGATCAATCGATTATTAAAATAATCGTTTGTTGCAGCCCTAGCATGTTTGTCATTCTTGGCTCATTTTCCTGAACTGGTCTTGGATAAATAAAGGTACAGTAATTAAAGATGACCCACAATGCATTTAAGGAATTTCTAATCCATGATTCCCACAGGACTGTGATAGCTGTCAGTAAGAGAGTCAGTTGGCCTGGAAAGCCTTCTCTGACACCTTTGACCCTTGCCCACCCTGTTTTCAAGATAACTGACAGATAAGTTTGTTGAAAGAATATTTTGTTGTCAGAGTATCGCTCCCTATAAAAATGTCTGTTTGATATAGGTCGGATATTGATACAGTTTTAGTATTATTTCACAATACAATAATAAAATAATTTCATACTTATGTATCATGTATTAATAATTTGGTTATCACTTTAATCTTAATCATATCATATAATTTGAATTCTACAAACAAAAAACAACTCTGAAATATCATTCAGTCTTATACAATTTGCACAGGCCTCTAGTCCTCTTTTAAAGGGGTCATATGATGCGATTTCAAGTTTTCCTTTCTCTTTGGAGTGTTACAAGCTGATTGTGCATAGATAAGATCCCTGAAGTTGCAAAGACTAAAGTCTCAAAACCAGAGATATTCTTTATAAAAGTTAAGACTCTGCCACGCCCCCCTAAAACGGCTCATTCTAACACGCCCCCACATATCTACATCACCATGTGGAAATATTTGCATAATGCGCCCAAATGATCACGCAAAGAAAGAAGGCGTGGTTTCAGGAACAGCAGTAGTGTTGATGCAGCATGTCAGGGAGACGCTGTGTGTTTCAGTGCGAAAGCAAAAGCACTTTATTTGGATCACTTACAACAGAACAGCAATGCATTTTATGGACGACCGTTTCGTGAACCTAGGAGAAGAGGTCATTCTGCCTTTGCTATGACAATCTGGCGCTTCTGAATCAGCTACTGTTTTGTTATTAGTTTAAGTATTTGCTATTGACTGTTCAAATGCGGAGTTTTGCGCATAGTGTGTGTGTGTGCGCGCGCGCGCGCGCGTGTGTGTGTGTGTGTGAGAGAGAGACAGGGTCACATCACAGTGGAGTCAGCTGTCTTAACCGTGGCTTGTGTACTGCAAACACATACCAGCTTCATCACTGTGTCTGTCACGCGACTCTGTTCCCCTTTCGGGCTCTGTCTTTACATTTATTTTGAAAGATGAAGCTCGCGATTATGGTAAGGGGCGTTACATTTCCGACGAGTGCTTGCGGTGTTCGGCCAATCACAATGCACTGGGTCAGCTGGCCAATCAGAGCAGACTGCGCTTGTCGGAAGGAGGGACTTTGTAGAAAACGAAGCGTTTGAGAGAGGCGGGGCATAGAGGACCTACAATAATGTACAGTATTTGAAAAATAATGTGTTTTTTGAACATTAAAGCATGTCAACATATTCTGTTACACCAAATACACAAAATAATGATCTTTAAAAAAGCATCATATGACCCCTTTAAACTAAGAGACAGGCATTCATCAGATTACTTTTGACATGAGTGATAAGGTAAGCAAGAGTTTGTTTTAGAGCCAAAGAAAGAATGATTTTAGACCATATGGTAGCTTAGTACATAGAGCTGCTCAAACGGCGCCTACCAGTTTCCAGGATGCCTAGATAGAGAATGCTTGAGAGTAGGGATGCAACGATTATAGATTTTGTTGGTACGATTATTAGCTTTAGAGAAAGAAAGCCTTGAATATTCAGTGTGTGTGGGTGATCAGAGAGAAATGTGTTTCAGAGGATAGTTAGTTGTGGAGAACAGGGGCCTGTATTCCTGAGCGGTGGGCAGCTGTGAACTCTAAGACAGTAAATGTGTTTTTGACCATGTGATAGACACAAAAGTCTGTATTGTTTCAGACTTTGCTCTGTAGACTGTAGAAACGTAGATGTTGAGAATGCGACTCTCTGAGTCTCATTTACTAACACCGCATAAATTATATTATATGATTTCACTGACTGCTCAGTCACCCTCTGCTTTATCTTGAAAGGGTGGGGCCTGAATGCCCTAGTGTGTTCAGATTATAAAAACATTCAGTGTCACTGAAATGTGCTACTAAGTCCCTGTTTGCTTTGGAGACAGATCACAGACAAAATAGCCCATACAGAGAGAGCGGATGCTTTTTCACATGGTACTTGGAGGGGCTTACTATACTGGGAAAGCCCCCTGCTTTGGAGCACAGGTCTTCCTGCTGAGCTGAACATATAGCACCTTCTAGTGTGCGTAATTACACATTGCATGCAGCTGCCTGGGTCGGTCTTGAGCAGTTCTGTGCTGTAGGTAGCTGGTACTTAGGATTCTGCTGTGGAGCTGAAAGTGCACAAAGCTGTGGAAAATGAAATTATAAATAGCAGTATTTAATAGGCAATAAAAAGCAACAGATTCCAATAAAAATAATGTTATTGCTGATATTATATGTAGTATAGTATTTCTTCATAGTAACAGGTTCATTGTGTACACTCCATTTGTGAAGTCCAGCACAGGGTGAGCATTTTGTGTTTAGTGGAGGGAGACATTTGAAATCGTATTTATCAGGGACATGTCAGAACATATTAACTCTCTGTGCTCTTTTGTTTGGCCTTAGGGTTTGTTGCAAAATTTGTGTCCCTCACTGCCCTGCTTTGGTGCTCCATATTACATTATCTGTGTGATTTTGAATATTGAATGGTAACCTAGACTGATCCTAGACCTAAAATGACTTTTTAATTAAGAAAAGCTATTGAATGTGTAATTTGGCACAGTTTGGGTCTAATCTGTCCCTGGCGCACTGCCCATTCACATTTAATTGTGAGCTGTTATAAGCTGAAGCAAGATTTCATTGCATTTATCACTGTTTGCTCATTTTGTAATAAAGTCCTGGTTTGTTGCAGGTCTATGGGTCAGAAGTGGTGCTGGATACATTAAAAAAGAGGGCACTCAGATGACATGGAGTTTTGTGGCTCCAAATTTAGGATACTGGCTTGCAGCATTTCCCTCAACCTCAGGTGAGACCAGCAGCAGTTACATGGTATATTATATTGCATGAAAAATAACAGCCATTTTATGTTTTTACATTTTCCTTGATCAGTAACCATTAAATGACACAGAATGACTTTAAAGATTCAATTAATTAAAAAATGCTGTTCAATATCTATATTCATCTTCTTATAACATTACTTTCCTAATTTTAATCTGCTTGGTTTAATTTTGGTTTACTTTTTTAATGCTTAAGAGATGGGTAAATAAAACAAAAATGCTTATTTTTGTGTTAAAGGAACAGGTCTGAACACCTCTGGTCTAAGGGACATCACTACCTATCACACTATTTTCCTGCTAGCGATTCTGGGTGCCATGGCCCTGCTAGTGCTTATTCTGCTGTGTTTGCTACTGTACTACTGCAGGTATCATTGCTCTGTGTGTGTTTGTTGTGTGCCTAAAAAAGTAATTAATAGCTTATCCTTGTAGGCTTGGCCTTAAGTTGAAAAACCCATGTCACAGCAAGACTTTTGTATAGGCATACACAAAAGTCTTGCCATGAGCTTAAGATCACTTCCATGAGCAAATTGAGCAAGACACTAAACTACATTTGTATTTGTCGTTATTTCAGTGAAACTGTAGTCAGTAGTTATGTTAACAAAAGTAATAAATGTTTTCTTTATATGTATATTTAGTATAATATCTAACAGATATTATTATAATATTTCAGGAGGCGGTGTCTAAAACCTCGGCAGCATCGCCGTAATATGTACCTCTCATCTACTCTGGAGAGCTCAAAGAGAGACCAGGGCACATCCACTTCCCACCTAAATCTCATCAGTGGTGGACACATGGAGACAGCGTCCTCGGCCGCCGACCATGATGGCATCAAATCTGACCTTTCCTCCAACCGTGATCTACACAGCTCTCGAGAGGACTTCTTCAGACATGGCCCCACCCAGAGACAGCACAACTCCAGGATAAACGCCGACACAAAGCGAGGAGAGAGCTTCCCATTGAAGACCACTCGCTCCTCAAACACAGGAACTCGAGACCCGCTCCTGCAGGATGACTATAGCAAAGGTTACAGCTCTGCTGAGGACTCTGACGAGCGCAGATATCATCACCATAATGCTAAAGACAACCAGGGCTATTCATCAGACCCACCGTCTCCACCTCCACTTTTGCCACCATTTACTGGCCACTATCAGGATCACAGTCGGGACAGCATGCCCCCAGGGTATTATGCACCGGCAGGGGATCACCTCAGTCGGCCCAGTTCCGTAAACACCCAGCCTGGCCAGCTGATCTTCTGTCATTCTATGGAGCAGATGAAGGAGAGCATGTACCACAGCATGGTGCCCACGCTGGTCATCCCTGCACATTATATGCATCTGTCCTCTGACCTGTCAGCTGTGGAGCAGGCAATGGAAAGGCAGCAACAGCTGCAGCATGATATGGAGGGCATCCAGGTTAGCATGACGCTGCCACGGCAACAGAGTCAACACCAAAAGCAACAACAACAGCAGCAGCAGGCCAGGCAAGAAAAGGAAGAGTCGTCGTCTAGCCAGCAAACAGAGGGACCTTCAGAGGAGAACTGGGGATCGGAACAGTCCACTGCCCCCGTCCGTATTCCTGTCCTTTTCAATGACTCCACCATTGCACAAATGAATGGAGAGCTGCAAGCGATGACAGAGAAGAAGCTGCTGGAGCTTGGAGTAAAGCCACACCCTCGTGCCTGGTTCGTTTCCCTTGACGGACGTTCAAACTCTCTTGTTAGACACTCCTACATTGAGCTAAGCAATGAAGCCTTGCGTGCACCTGTGGGCCCCAGCAATCTAGCCCAGGACCACTGTACTGAAGCACTCCCCATGAGTTCAAGGAAATCGACTCACCGGAAAGTAAAAGAGGAGGGCAGAGTGAAGGAGGGAGGTGAAAGAAAAGCTCATGGAAAGATTTATTCCAAGCTTCCCGTTATTGAAAGGCCAGACTCAAGTAGCGAGAGCCATTCAGCTGTGTACTCACCTGAGGAGAACTCCACAGCGCTACTGCTTGACGAGACCTCTGAATCCAGAGGAGGGACGTTCCCTCGTAAAGGCCACAGTCGGGATAACGGCACCCGTAGTAGTGCCAGCGAGGTCCACAGAGACTCTGTCACCAGTCCTGATGATGTCAATGAAGCCGACGACAAAGATGATGATGGAGAGAATAAGAAGAGCCCCTGGCAAAAGCGTGAAGAGAGGCCCCTCATGGTGTTCAACGTCAAGTAACACATGCTGTCCAGGACTGGTTATGGCACCATCTTGGCTATACATTTTGTTCTTATATATGCTTGCTAGTGATGAAGATGCAGAGCTGGAAAAGAGTCGGATGAAAAGCACAATAAGAGACATGGCACTTACCTGAGTGATAGGCCATAATTCCAACCATCAAGACTAGGTACCAAGAATTAGCGCTGAATGCCACGTGTAAAGAAGCATCTGAAGTCCTCACACCCTTTTAGATGTCCTTCAGATGGTTTAAACATCTGATGTAGTTCTGGCAGCAGTTCATGAGGCCAGAGGGAGCCATAACTTTGAATCTGCACTCTTCTCAAAGAGTTGTCTCGCTTTCCTTAAGTGACACCCATTTTTTTGTAAGAATGACCATGAGCCATTTTAAACTTGAGACTTTGGGAAGTAATCCATAAGCCTTAAAGAGCTTTTTCCTTTTCAAAAGAAATATAAATGAAAATGAATATTAATGTGATATAGGTGAAAAAGAGGGCTGTTGTAAGGATTGAAAGATTTTATCAATCTAGAATGACTTTTATTGTAGCGGTTTACACAAACGTTTAATTTGTTTATATTACTATGTAGAGCTGAACCATTAAGATGTGTGGAAATCGTATATATTTCAAAAGCAGGAGTGAAATGTTTGCTGAATAAATTAGTGCGTTTACTCCAACGTGACTTATCGAATCCTAGTGGTTGACACATAATGACACTGTATTTTGTACTATTGGTAAAAGTTCCCCTTTTGTACTTAACTAAAACCAGTGTTGCCATTTTTTAGATATGTTTTAAGGAGACTGTTTGGGTTAGGAAAACTGCTCTTAGATATGAATAAAAAGTTCTGCATATATACTGTACAGAACACATTTTGTACTCCGAATAAGCCTTCCCTGTTGGTTCAGTGCAGCAGTAGAAATTGTGTTTTGACTGACTTACCTTGGACACCTGTGAAAATGTTTTCGCACTAATTTTTGCTGTAGTGCATTGGAACGTTTGCCATAAATCAGAACCACTGCAATTATATTCTGTTAACTGTGGAAGTACAATTTTGAACCTTTTTCATTTATGGACTTTTTGTGTGTGACTGAAGATACAGACTGTGCTTGAAAAGGATGTGCATGGATGAATTTACACAAAAAATATTGTACCAAGTATTTTTTTAAAAACAAGTATTGCTTGATTAAGCACTCTTACTTAACTCTGTGAACCACTTATTTGTAAATAACACCCTAGTAAATTTACACTCTCACTTCAGTCTTATTGATTTTATTTCTAACTAAAAGAGACCTACCATGTAGCAACAGTAGTCTCTCGTCATTCCTCTTCAAAGTGTGTATGTAAATATATAGTTTTCTTTAATGATGTTCCTGTCATTACAGAAGTTATGCTGAGGAATTAATTATTATATTATATAATATTATATTATAACGGTTTAATATAAATATAAAAAAACATTATCGTATTATTTAGATTTGTCCATCACCACCTGTAAAGTTGAAATTGTTGGCATAACAGCTTTTGGCAAGTGAATTTGGAACAGTTTGCGGTGCATCCCTATCTTTATTTTTGGTTTTACTTACCATAAACGAAATAAATATTTTTATTTAAAGGGGTCATATGATGTTGCTAAAAAGAACATTATGTTGTGTATTTGGTGTAATGAAATGTGTTTATGCGGTTTAAGGTTAAAAAAAAACATTATTTCCCACATACTGTACATTATTGTTTCTCTTCTATGCCCCGCCTTTCTGAAATGCGTCGATTTTTACAAAGCTCATCAGTCTGAAAAAGCGAGGTGTGCTGTGATCGGCCAGCTATCCAGTGCGTTGTGATTGGCCGAACTTCCCACATTGTGACGTAGACATGTGGGGGTGTGTTAGAACTAGCCATTTTAGTTAGGCGTGGTTGACTCTTAACCTTTATAAAGAATATCTCTTTGGATTTGAGACTTTGCAACTTTACAGATCTTCTTTATGCACCAAGAGCTTGTAACACTCCAAAGAGAAAGGAGAAATTGAAATCGCATCATATGACCCCTTTAATATTGTGTCTACATATGACTAAGCATTTGGCCTCTGGGTGTGGGCTACGGGCAGTCACTAGGTGGCACAAGGTTACAGGGATTTGTCATTTTAAAATTCAATGTAATGGCCTTCGATGTGTTCCCAAAGTTTTAGAAATATTGCTGTTTACACTGTTGACGTTTACTAAAGTAATCTATGCCTATGCCAAATTAAAATTAACACAGTAACTACTCAGCGTCTGGCGGGCACGTGGTCGGCGGCGCGCCTAAGTATCCTCGAGAGTGCGCAAGCTTGACAGCATAATGCGCGCTCTCGTGTTCCCCCGGATGCGTGTTTACTCGGTCTCCTCTCTCCACCCTTGAAATGAGAGAGGTACGGAGTGGAAGGGACATCGTTTTACAAGAAAACCTCCACGAACAAGATCAAGACCGGTCGACAGACGAGGGCGAAGCGCGAAGAGTCAAGGTGTAGCGCGTGGATACATTGATTTGACACCAAGGTCAATTATCTTTTTATAAATAATTTAAAAAAAAACTTCAGACACGGAGAATTCACGAACCTCTGAGGATGGAGCAGGCATACGGGGCTGGCAAGGCTGGTGGTACCTTCGATCCAATTACGTTCTTTCAGCAACCGCAGGCTATTCTTCGCATAGTGTCATGGGTGAGAGTGATTCTACTAATTGCATAATTTAAGCGCGAGCCCGAGCGTCATGTGATGACGCGGTAACGGCTAGTAAAGCTTTGCCGCCTAAATGCACAATCTCTCGCGCTAATCTGCGCGTTCTCAATTTATTGCTTTGGTTTTTATTTATTCTCTTGTTAAACATGTACATGAAAATATGTATGCAATGTGCATCATATTTGTATTGTAAATATGAGACTAGAGATGATATAGACTGATTTTCTTAAAATTTAGTTTATAGATTATTATAATATTTTTAGAATTTTATGAATACTTCATTCTGGTTGGTCAATCTTGATATTCAGCTTACAAATATTGCTGTATAATGACTGTTGTCCATGACAACACTGTATAACTATAACAGACCACTTACCTTATGTTACCTAAATAGCTATACATGTTCTGTAGCTCATGTAAGATATTAATTCCAATGTAATATATTTATAACAGCTCAGACACCATTAATGGATATGGAGAATAAAGCATGTAGAGGTTTGGAAAGCAACAGCCAGGCTGTGATAGTAGCTTAAAGGGGCCATATGACGTTGCTAAAAAGAACATTATGTTGTGTATTTGGTGAAATGTGTTTATGCGGTTTAAAGTTAAAAGAACACATTATTTTCCACATAATGTACATTATTGTTGCTCCTCTCTGCCCCGCTTTTCTGAAACAGTCGATTTTTACAAAGCTTATTGTTTTGAAAAGCACAGTGTGCACTAATTGGCCAGCTATCCGGTGCATTGTGATTGGCGAAATACCTCAAGCGTGTGCCGGAAATGGAAACATGTTTGGAATGGAAACACATGGCAACACACTAAACAATACTTTTGGATTGAAAGCTCAATATTCATAAAGGAGCTGGCAATGTCTACTGCCCTGTTACCTTTACAGGGGAGGTTTCTGTCTGTTAACTAACTAAACAATGTTTAACACTTTGTTTCTTTGTTCATTTCCTCAATCTTTATTCAGTCAAGTTGCTCCTGATTTGTTTAAACATTTGGCTCTTGAATGAATGCGCATGCATGCACTATTTTCTGATAAAAAGGTTTTGTGGAGAGACACATGGTGAGGGGGTGGTGGGAGATTAGAAGAGGGTGGCTGATGTGGGGGGAAGGGTGGGCAGGTGTCTGAATCAGTGATTAAATCACAACTATGCAATAGGTGATCATTTGAGTATTTAAATTATTTACATGTCAGAATCGACACATAAGGATCTTGTCATATCAAATGAGCACTGACTCATTGCTCATTTATAAAAATGACATTCATAGGCAACAGAAATTATCAAAATGCTAAAAGACATTGAAATGTTTGTAAAACAATTCTCTGGCCATGCTCTACGAGGTTTAGAAAAGCCCCACTGAGCCCCATTCAAATCTTATATTTATTCATGTTTTAATCGTTTTACGTCCTTTATTTGAGTATTAGTTATTTTACTTAAACATTCAGTTTGCATATTTTTAGTTAATTGCCAAGGCAGCATTTCTTGTTTTCATTCTTTTTTTTTAAGTTTAGGTTTTTATGCAATATTTTTATTTTATATCAGCTTTAAATTAACAATTGGATTGAATTGGATATATTGGGAAAGTTTAGGCTTTTGGATAAACCTATTGGATATATTTTTGATCAGTGTAGACTATGGATGTTGTTAGTAGTGAAGCTGAGTTACTTTAGCCTAATTTTTCCAGTTTTTTGAGTGTCCTGAATTCAGCCAGTTTGAGGCGGGATTTCCTGTTTGTCCATCCAATGGAGGACAGAGAGAGTGTTCGGGAAAACTGCATGCAGTTATTGTACGGATGGGAATCTTTTGGAATCCCGTGATTTGATTCAAAACGACTCTTGGGGTGAAGATTTGATTTAAAATTGATTCTTGTTTTTTGTCAGGTAAGCTTCATTCTTAACGCTTCCCCCGTTGCAAGCCTTCCCTGTGTGTTCTCTATAAACTGTCAGGGTGCTGCACTGCTCTTGCAGTTGACTGCTACCTTCTCTGTTCCGACAAAATCATGTTATGAACAAAAACATTTAGAAAATCTATTTTTGAAATTTGTGAATCGATTTGAATCGGCATAAGATAGAATCGTCATTCATAAGTGAATCGATACTGAAATGCCACCTTTCACCTTTAAGAGGCAACCAACTGTTGATTTGCCTGCATGTTTAGTGTGTGTATGTGTGCAGTCTGCTTTGTGGAATCATTCAAATGATTCATACTCTGGCTGAGTGAGTGCTGCTTCTGAGTTGGCATGACAACTATCTGAGACCTCAGGCTGGATACTAACAGGCTCACTATGAGGAAAATGAAAATGGATAAACAGTAAAAGGCATTAATGGGATTGCCTCTAGAATATTTCTAGTTGAACCTGTGTCATTTGACAGTCTCTCTTTCCTCTTTCTATGAACTGCAACATGAGAGTTACGTGAACTCCTTAGTCATGATTCAGTTCTGGTAGATACTATGATGGATATAGTGTCTGATTCAGACTCGGAGTCTTTCCTCATTTCTTGTTTGTAAACAAGGTCTCGCTTTAAAATGTATGATCTCTTTCCCACAGGAACCCTCACTGACACATATTTCACAGATAGAGTTTGAAAACATGGGCGTTAAAAAACCTCTAGGCAAGAATCAGCAGTTCATTCATTTATTTTCCCAAGCTGCCACACTGTATTCATCCAGCATCTAACTACAGTCTGTTTCTCTGAAACACAGAATTACAGTACCACATCATTTTCCAGTTTGTCTTTTGGAATTACTCCTTTTTTTTTTTTAAGAATATGTATTATGGTGAAAACCCTGCCTGTTCTGTCCTTTACAATGTGCATGTGATGCTTTAAATATAGTCCGTTCTGGGACTAATGGCACTGAATTCTGCTGCAGGGTGACATACTCTCCATCTCTCTCCATATTTTTTCCTGCACAATCATTATGTCAAGAGGGAAAATAAAGTTTGCAGAGCCTCTTTATCCCTTGAACAATATTATTAGGGCCCGAGCACCGATGGTGTGAGGACCCTATTGGAATTGCTCCGTTTCTTATTATTAGGGCCCGAGCACCGATGGTGTGAGGACCCTATTGGAATTGCTCCGTTTCATCGCTGCTTGCAGCTTTAATTATAGTTTGTGATTCGTTTATTTCCTGGCAGGATGTTCCTTTGTCTCGTTGTGATATTCTGGCAATGTTTCGGTGTTTAATCATGCATTGTGTCTCATATCTAATCAGCATTTGCTATCTTGCACTCTTATTTTAGATTCAAAAGCCTAATAGGTAAAATAGATATAAATATAAACGTTCTAAAGGGGAAAAATGAATAATTTTAATTCATATGCACCAATATTATAATACATAGAAATAGATATAAATATAAAGTGTTTACCGACATTTAATTTTTTTTTTTACATTTTATTACATGAACACTCAACAGGGAGGCTAAAGTGAACATTTAGAGTGTTAATATAGAGAATCACTGAGTCTGGAATCAATTATGTCAGAATATATATGAGAATGTATATCAGCATATTTGCTTTTGTCGTTTTTATCATGTCAAAATATCTTTGACATGAAGTATGCTATTTACCAACGTACCAGAGCAGTTACAGTGCAGTTTAATTTAATTTTCCCGTTTATAGCACAGCAGATCTATTGCTCTACATATGACTGATGTTTATGAATATCCTAATGAATATCCTAATCTTGTTTCTCCGGTTATGGACACATGATTTCTGAATGCTGTGAAGCAATGGTCAGGTTGGCTGTGTGGGGGAGCACTTCAAATGTATAGGTGGTCTTCATCTGTAGTCTTATGACTCCGTCTTTCTCCCTCTCTCGTGATCTCTCTTTCCCCGCATAGTGAACACAAGGTCAGGGAGATTAAAAGCGAGGATTGGAGGGGGAGGGGAGAGAGAGAGGCAAAGCTCGGCAGGCATGTAACAGACTGAGAAAAAGAGAGAAAAATGACGAGGGGCACTATGTCCTTTTAGTGGTCAAAAATACATATTTTTAACAAAAACTTACACCATCCAGTCCATCAGTGAAGTATAATGGTTGCTCTTTTTCGTGCAATTACAATAAATGGATGCAAAATGAATGCAAATACACCATAAAAGAATCACAAAAATGGCCCATATGACCATTGAGGCCATCTGAAGCTTTTGTCTAAGAAACATACAAAAATTTAAGTCTATATTCAGTCAAGAATCGGATCAGCCCAAATTCATCAATGAATAATTCTGAACTGGACCAAATGATTCATTCAAAATATTGTTTTGTTCATAACAGAATTCCCATTTTTCTAACTTGTTTTAATTGATGTTAGAGCATCACTGATGAGCTGTAGATTATTTTTACTTTATAGTAGGTTTACTTTAACCTGTCATTATTGTCCTGCCCTCTATCTAACATTACACAAGTTGCAACTGTGCTTTGTGTAAAGAGCCCTATTGAATAGCTGGACAGCTCTATTCCACTGTATTTCTCTTCCTTTCAAGGTGTTGATTGATTTATTGGTGGGTGAGCCATAGTTGCTGGCTCTAAAATGGTACAAGCACAAACCAGCCCCAGCTGATATGTCTGGATGTTTGAAGGACCATAAATTACAGAGAAGACGAATGAAAGCCAATAAAATGACACACTGACCTTGTGGGATGTACTAAACTCTACAAAATGTGACTTTTATGTAATATTTAGGATAGGGTAGCACTTTATTAAGCCACTGTGGGAAATTGAGGCGTTACAGCATTAAACAAAAATCACATAATGGAATACAAAAATGGAGAGTAAAATATTTTTGTAATATTAATGTGCAACATGACAAGGTTTGTACAAAATAATGTACAGAATTAGCAGGTGAAGAGAAGAAATGTGTATGGTATATGATGGAATACATGTTGAATATAGAAAATGTGCAAGAATGGGTTTGTCAGTTTATGCTTTAAAGGTGCTGTATGTATGATTGACACCGAGTGGTTGAACTAGGTATTGCAGTCCAAATTCAATCATTTTCAAAGGAGAATAACTGACTGTAGCATTGTTTTTCAGATAAACAAATATGTTAACTTAGCATGTTTCTTAAATATCTGCAAACATATTATGGTATTTTTATGCTTTAGTAGAGTCAAAAACTTACATACAGCACCTTTAATTTAAAGAGACTAGAAAACCTGGTTGTCACAATATAAACAAGATAACAACTAGGACAAGGAACTGTTTTGTGCATTTTGTTACCAATAACATTTTACAGTTTTTTAAAGTTTTACAAATTTCCACGGTTAAAAAAAAGTGTTAAACATTCATGTTGCTCGTTTCACAGACACATGTGCCTAAAACACTCCAATCAGGTTGAAACAGGGAGCACGTAAAGCCTTGCACCTGATGATCACAAGATCCAGATCCCTCGTGCTGCCTGTTACAATGCTTGCTTTCATGCTCTCATTGGCCATAGGGCCATGTGATCCAGACAGCTAATTTAAAGGCAGGCAAAACACTTGACCCTACACTTGAATTCACAGACTCAAGAGAGAGAAATGTATTACAAAAAACTTGCATACATGTCTTTAGCAACACATTGTCATATGGACAATTAGTAAGCAATGATACTGCTTTATCATCTCTAACCTAACAATCATGTTTGCGTTTACAGTCTTATTCAAGAAAACAAAATGATATATGATATATGTTGAAGTCAGATGTTGATTAATTGTCATTCTTTCGTGAATCAGACTACATTGGCCACGCTGTGTTTTTGATTCACTAAAAAAAAACCAGGCTCATAAGAGTCATTTGTTCATGAATCAGACTACACTGGTCATGCTGTATATGTTTTTGATTCACTGTAAAGAAGCGGTTCATAAGAGTCATTTATTTGTGAATCGGACTACACTGCTCGTATATATTTTTGATTCAATAAAAAGAAGTGGTTTAATCAGTTCAGTCAGTTGTTCATGAATTGGACTACATTGGGTGTACTTTATGATTCTGATGAACTAAAAAAAAGACTCATTAGTGTATGAATCTGACTCCATTATTTGCATGATGTTCTTTTTGCATTCATCCAGTAAAAACAACTCATAGAAAGACATTTCTTGCCATTATTTTGAAGTTGTCTTTTTATTGCAGTTACAGTCAATACAGACCTACATTCACAATTCACAAATCTTTTTTTTTTTTTCTAAATTTTACTTCTAAAATGCAATGCAGGAAACACTGTTAAGTGCTTATTTTGGACGTAAATCCTATGGAATGGATTTAAACATGTTAAAATAAGATAAACAGAGCTGAAAGTCCTATATTATTATATTATACTATAGGGCTTGCTTATACCTTAAGTTAACCATAAGTCAGCGATGATGATATCTTGCTTATATGTGCTTAATAAGATTAAGATAAAGGTTTGAATGAGCCATTGAGCCTGTATCTTAGAGATTCAGTGTTTATTTGATTTGATGTTGCCAAACCCCTTAACAGAAGTTTTAATATAAAGCTGCTTCTCGGGATTAAATCATGGGCTTGTAGCTGGCAATTAGGGAACAACTATGGGACAGTTTGCTTGTAGCCAAGAGCATTTTAACTTAATTGCATGAGTGGAGTAATGAAGTGTCTCTCTCTCATTCTCACACATTCAGACATATTGACAGATGCACAAGCCAGCTGTTAAAAAACACCAGCCTTTGCCAAAAATTGCCTCCATTCTCTTGAGATTGACTATTCCTCTGGAGCCAAAAAGAGAACATGGGCTCATCTAAATCCAAAAAGCCACTTATTATTATTATGGAAGTGTCAAATCTACCCTAGCTTCCCTGTAAGAAAACAAACCCAGTAACAACAATCAACAAAGTGAGATTAAAAACAGACATACACATGCTCAATGCTTTCTGTGATGATAGAATGCATCTGCAAACAATATTTTGGCTGCAAAAAAACAATTTAATTTGATGGCAGAAAATGCTTGTTTGTTTACTAGGAATGCTGAAATCAGCACTACAGTGGACATACATAACATTTTATCAATTTTAATTGGCTTTAAAGGGCTTTTGACATGATGCTTAACTCTGGGTTAATGTGTCTTTTTAACGCTGGACTAATGATGCGGTCATATATACCGTTGTTCAGAAAATTTTCAATAGGCAAAATCCAGGCATTGCTATGCTAAAGGTAAACAGTGTAAAAACTATCTGCCCCAAAGTTATTTTATTAAATATTTTTAAAATTATTATTAAATTACTGATTCTTTTAGTATAACAACTCAGAAAACAAGGCAAAAATAAAGTTCTGTTTGTAGACATCTAGTTTACTTACCTCTAAGTGTCTCAAACAAAACACTCACTGTATTTCAAAGATTTGATGCTGCTAAATTGAACCTTTTGCAAATCCAGTGATTAGTTCTTCCTCAAAAGCACTTGTATTAACCTGGTACCTTGCATTTCACCTCTTCTCCAACCTGTGCACTAATCTAGCTTACACTTAAAATTGGTATTGTGTACTATGGATACTTTTGACTTCTTATGATTAATTGCTTGTTATGTTCATAATTTCCAAGTCGCTTTGGATAAAAGTGTCTTGTCAATGCATAATTGTTAACACGTACAGTAAGAAATCCCAAAACCTGACTACCTAAGACTAATGACTAACTCAGGGTAAAGTATGAACAAAATAACCCATGGTTATAAATAAAAGTGTGGTAAGTCCATATATCACCTTTAGACAAATTCTTATGTTTTAATTTCACCTTCTCCCTTCATGTTCTTCTTCTTTTTATTCCCCTTCCCAGATCTTTTCCATTGTGATCTTTGGATGCATTGCTAATGAGGGCTATGTGAACCGTCCGGACGAGGTGGAGGAGTATTGCATCTTTAACCGTAACCAGAATGCCTGTAACTATGCCGTGGGTATGGGAGCCGTGGCCTTCCTCTGCTGTGTCGCTTTTATGGCACTGGATGTCTACTTTCCTCAGATAAGCAGCATCAAAGACCGCAAGAAGGCTGTGTTAGCTGATATTGGCATTTCAGGTAAACTGCTGATAGAATGCAGGTATTACATCAATATTTTATATCACTAAGATGATACATTTATTGCAAGCCTCCTGCTGAATCTGCCTCACTCTTTCTACAAACCACACACTATGTCTTATTTATTTGAACATCTATGAATGATTTTATATGGCTCTAAGAAGGTGATGTTTCCCATATACAATTGGTTTTAAGGTCTTCTTGACTCAAAAGCACTCCTAAAGTCTGATCTAGATCTACTTCCTCTACCACAGCATTACTTTAAGCTACACTGCCCTCTGTTGGTAAAATGTAACTTCTGCTAGACTTACTACAGTGCTATGCTTAATTGAATAATCTATGCCTGTAAATATAAATGGACTGTTTTAATCAGAGCACTGTTAGATTGTGCTATCATTCTATTTTTGATTTATTTGTTTTCAAAGGCCTTTATTGTGCTGTTTTATTGACCTGAAATTCTGCACCTTTCCCATTTTGCTCCCAGCCTTCTGGTCTTTCGTGTGGTTTGTGGGATTCTGCTTCCTGGCCAATCAGTGGCAGGTGGCTAAACCAGAAGATAACCCCCTCAAAGAGGGTGGTGACGCAGCCAGAGCGGCCATCACCTTCGCCTTCTTCTCCATATTTACTTGGGTCTGTACTGACTTAATTATATATAATTCTTCTGTAATTTTTCTTCCAAAGTAAATGTTTGCTACAAAATCTAATTGATTTGAATCATATTTGATTTGCGAGATTCAATGTCTACAGTACATTTTCTTCCCAGTCAGAAATGTAATTTTATTATATAGATGATGGCTGGGTCCCTTCCTCTTCCCAAGGCCTTTTATTACACCAGATTGCATTGGTGATGAACCAGTAGTATTTGTATTACTTATTTGCTTAAATAGAATTTATTAATATTTTAAATTAGCTTTTTTATATTTTGAGTTTTCATTTAAAGGTCCCCTGAAATGCTTAGAAACACGCAGCGTTACTCTGTGTTGACGTCATTTTAACTGAAACAGGAAGACACGGCGGGACATATCAAGCAGCCCCACCCCTTTTTAAAATAGCCAGTAGCGTTCGTTTATATCACAGCTTGGGCCAGAGCCATTCAGAGCTGTTGAGCTCCGTAAAGCCGCATTTGACAGGGTATGCCAGCCACAATCTCATCCATATTGCTATAAAATATAGCATTCTGTGTAGAATTCAAATAGCTCCGATACATTTTGTGGTCTGCGCCGACCCGCTCCGTGCTATCGTGTCTCTGGACCGGAGCAGAGTGTGTGTGCGCTGCGGTGGTTAGCGTGACACAGCACGAAACCAGACTTCTTTTTTTCCTCAATGGAAAGCATATTTACACTGTTGGAATCGTTCCCTGTCCCCTATATAGTGCACTACGTGCCATTCACTGTACAGAAAATACTAATTCTGAGGACAAGTGACCGATTTCAGCCGCGGCTTCAGCGTCTATTTTATAGTGTAGGGGCGGCCGCTTCGGATTCTAGAGAGCATTTGATTGGACAGAAAGTTTGATGAGAAGCATAAGTATGATTTGACGTGGCGGAAGTGACGAACTGCAAGCTTTCAATGCTTGTATCTTCTAAATGCGAATTTTGTCACTGTTTTGGAGCACACTGCCTTATAGACAGTGTTGGGAGTAACGCATTACAAAAGTAATAATATTACAGTAGTATATTACT